GCTGTCCATGTTTGAATCTATGACTATAATACGCAATCATGTCAAGAGACTCTGGATCAGCCTTGGACGGCTGGGCGAANCACACCGCAACACTCTTTCATAGACGCAGAGTAATGACGCTGTCCATGTTGAATCTACGACTATAATACGCAATCATGTCAAGAGACTCTGGATCAGNGTGATCACCGTAAAGTGTTTCCCAAATAAGTACGGTCGCCAATGCGAAATTGCAAGAACCACACCGCAACACTCTTTCATAGACGCAGAGTAATGACGCTGTCCATGTTTGAATCTATGACTATAATACGCAATCATGTCAAGAGATTCTGGATCAGCCTTGGACGGCTGGGCAAGAAACGCGCCACACCCATGTTCGGATGCATCCACATGAACTACGAATTCCCGATCGAAGTCTGGGAAGTGTAGAACGGGCGCTGAAGCTTATAACCGCTTTAGATGAGCGAACGATGCGTCGTGTGATTTGTTCCAAGCGTTTACGAAACGTGATTTTGTGGCGTACTCTTTGCGAGTCAACTCCACCAACGGATTGGATATTTCTGCATAATCCGGTATGAACCGGCGCAAAAAATTGACCACCCCGAGTACTGAGCGAAGACCTTTCAGGCAACGAGGAGTAGGAAGGTTTTGGACGGCTTTAATACGATCCTTCCCGACAGAAATACCTTCAGCCGAAATAATATGCCCCAAATACTCGATGGGCTTGGGGCCAAACGAAATCTTCGAAGGTTTCAATGTCAGACCTGCTGCTTGGAGAGCTACGAACATGCTCTCCAAAGACTTCATATGATTCTCGAAGGTTGCTGAAAGCACACAGAAATCATCCATGTAAATCAACAATTCCCGAATATGGCCTAACGTTTTATGGGCCATCTCAGTAAAAATCCATGGGGCATTACAAACACCAACGGCATCCGCTTGTAACAGTACTTGCCAGAGTTGGTGACAAAGGCTGTCCTTCATACGTGGTCAGGATGAACAGGAATCTGCCAGTACGCTGACTGGACGACTGCAACGCTGATGAACTTGGCGCTGCCGACAGAGTCAAGGTTGGACTCCATGTTCGCTAGAGGCCAGGTCTTGCGAATGAGGTGCTTGTTGACGGTGCTTCGGAAACCGACGCAAAAACGAGGTTTACCATCTTTACGCGCGACGAGAGTAACGGGGGAACCCCACTGACTAGGCAGCTCTTCGATGATGTCATCGTCAAGCATGTCCTTAACGCACTTTTGGATAACGGCTTCAGTATGCGGGTTTGCGCGGTAGGGACGACGGTTAACCGGTTTTGTGTTAGGCGGCATAGGAAACGTTGCTTGAGCAGTTGTGCATATACCAAGCTCCTTACGATTCGGCGAAAAAACGGGACATATATTTTGCGCACAGGCCCAAAATACGAGTTTGTTGTTCCGAGGAGAACGTGGAATTTGCGAACGGTTTCGACAGCGGTTCTACCAGCTCAGCTTTAGCAGCAGCAATTTCACTCGCAGTTTTTGGAGACAAGGCAACAGCGTGGACGTGAAGCTGTTCCTGTGCTACCATAGTAATCGGCGATAAAGTTCCAATATCCAATCCAACATGTACGGCGAGATACTCAGATGATGGATTCGCAATTTGGACAACTACCGAACCATTAACAGCACTCCATGTTGAGACGGTGCGAGCCACGATTAAACGCTCCAATTCGGGCGGAACAGTATCGACCGAAAGTTCATCTGCCGACAAGATACGCGGCTCGACTACTACGGCGGTATCAACGGGCGGTATGCATTCAGTAAATGCTTTTACGATCATCGCATGACGAGGGCGAATATTATAACGTTGACGTAATTTGACTGAGTGTTCTTCCGCATTTCGATGAACGGCTGCAACACGGGGGACGGCGACGGATCAGAACTGTGTTGAGATTTTTTACGATAAATAGCGGGGACAATAGTGTCACTACACTCAAAAGTCAAACGTTCATTTTTCCAGTCAAGTACTGCCCCAAACCGAGTCATTGCATCATTGTCTAGGAGTATTTGATCAGGACCGAGCGATGGTACGACCAACGCATCGATTCGGCGGGACACGTCTCCCAACCGAACAACGAAATAAATAAATCCTAAAACTTTGACTGGTGCACCATTTGCGGCACTGAGTTTTAGGGACGGAGACGGTATTGGCTCTAACCGAGCAAAAGATAACGATGGGTCAACCCATTTTGCCACAGAGCTACTGTCATGCAATTCCAAGCGGTACGATTACCATTNGCACCATTTGCGGCACTGAGTTTTAGGGACGGAGACGGTATTGGCTCTAACCGAGCAAAAGATAACGATGGGTCAACCCATTTTGCCACAGAGCTACTGTCATGCAATTCCAAGCGGTACGATTACCATTACGCTCGACGGCAGCTTGGAACCGTGCCATGACAGTACGGAAACGGAGAGCATACGAGGAAACATATTCCTGTGGCCCTTGAACGAACGTTGCGGNGTCAAACGTTCATTTTTCCAGTCAAGTACTGCCCCAAACCGAGTCATTGCATCATTGTCTAGGAGTATTTGATCAGGACCGAGCGATGGTACGACCAACGCATCGATTCGGCGGGACACGTCTCCCAACCGAACAACGAAATAAATAAATCCTAAAACTTTGACTGGTGCACCATTTGCGGCACTGAGTTTTAGGGACGGAGACGGTATTGGCTCTAACCGAGCAAAAGATAACGATGGGTCAACCCATTTTGCCACAGAGCTACTGTCATGCAATTCCAAGCGGTACGATTACCATTACGCTCGACGGCAGCTTGGAACCGTGCCATGACAGTACGGAAACGGAGAGCATACGAGGAAACATATTCCTGTGGCCCTTGAACGAACGTTGCGGGATTGTGTGTCTCCTCCTCAACGGAATTTGCGGGAAGAAGTGAATCAAGCAATACAGAACACATGGCATCTCACGTGGTCGGAGGGGGAAACGACCCTTTTCCTCCGGTTCTGTGAACGTGCTTGCCTTAGAACAGTCTATCTGCCCAGACAAGATCTGCTGCATCAGGGTCAACAACTCTCCTGTTCCCACAAGGGCAATGTGCTTGAGTGCGACCCCATTAGCATACGACGAATCCGTGTTGACAACTGCGGCTTTCAGCCCAACCACCGTACGAAAATGTTTCAAGATTTCTATCACATTCTCGGCACGGCCTCCAGTCAGCTTGGGAACGCTGCGGAGGTCAGCCGCGGATATTGAAACGGTAGCTGCTTGCAGAAATGTACGAACGGGGGCTTCGGTCGCTACAGCAGTCGATGCCACCTGCGACGTTGGAGTAACAGGTGGTGCTAAGACGAACGATTGCGCATTTGCGAGTGCAACCTGTGCTGTTGAAGTAACAGGTGACTCTACGAGGGACGATTGCGCACTGTTAATAGCAGGTGCAACTTGGGATTTTCGGCAGACGTGTTTACGGGCGCAGTGAGCGACGAACTCGGCGAGGGATTTGACCCACTGGTTGCCTGCGCGGACGGAACGAACGATGGTGCTCCAGGGGACAACGGTGTCAGCCTGGGCAACGACGGAGCTAAAAACGGAACGCTTGAACTTACCGATGTCGGTTCAGTTGCACTCGTTCCACGAGACGAGGCTCCACGAGACTACGTAGCTGACGCTGTTGCGACAGACGATGAGGCGGGCACCGACTCCGTCAGGAGACGCTGCTGCACGCGACGGTAGCTGGCCAGAGCTCCGGAGGAGTCCGCCTGTGCCGCAACGCTCGGAGGTAAGCCTTCACCTCCTCCTTGCACGTTGCCTCTAGCAACTGCAAGAACGACAATCGGTCCACACCATCATCAGCATCCGATGACTGGTGCGACCGATTCCCTTCGTCTTCCGACGAAGAGGACGACGACAACGATGGAGACGGCGACGACGGGCCGGTGGGCGACGCTAGGACGTATTGGTCTTCGTCCTCCCCTTCCGGCTCGAAGTCAACGAGCTGGTCTTGGTCCCCTTCCTCTTCCTGGAAGTGGACCTCGCCAGATTATTCTTGTTCATTTTTTTTTACAATTCCGCATGATGGCAATTGCCGCAAGGTAGTGCCACCAACACACAAAGAACTCGACAAACACACGTAACGCCGCTGGCGCCACTCTGAGACTGTTGTCTCCAGGTTCGCGTGTGACCAAGTTCCCTTAGGGATGGGCGGTGTGGATACACACCGGATCAACCTCTGGTGGAGAGGCGGATGTACGGAACGTTGAGTCGAGAGTGTGTGTGTGGCAGGTGGGGATCAAGCTTGTTTTAAAGCAAGGTTCAGCATCCAACCTGCACTGACTCTATCTGTGGTAACACCCCGAAGGTAGATCTCCGACAGGTCATCGGACGTCACAATCTACGACAGTCTGAGGTGGCATTCACACAATCTTAGGCTAGCTAGTAACCTTGTACACAACAAGCGACCGCTGCGGATGGTTAATTTGCGACGGTACCTTCGTTCCGGAGTCAGAGTTTTGGAATACTGATGAGATAGACAATGCATGGAGGCGTTTCCAGCCATCTGGATTTTTGAGAGAGGAGGTGCAGTCCCCCCCTGCGCCCACACATGTGGTGCTCAAGTTCATATCTAGACGTAAAGTAGTTTTAGTCTCAATCGCCAAGTTCGTTCGCAAGTGCAGAAGCGTTCTGTAGGCGTTGTAATGGGAAATAAATGTTGATACACAGTCTAGAGTGAAGCGACAACAAACAAGCTGCCGTCGACCCCAACTACTGCTGCACATACAAATATCTCGGGCAGGAACCGCAGGAGGGGGTCCAACCCCCCCCTCCTATGTGACCCCGGTTGGGTCGTCTGGCTGGTAGAAGTGGAGGATAGGGGCCAGAGGGGCAGACGACAGAGTCCAATGATGGGAGACAANCGGTTGGGTCGTCTAGCTGGTAGAAGTGGAGGATAGGGGCCAGAGGGGCAGACGACAGAGTCCAATGATGGGAGACAAAAAAAAACTGCTGTAGAAANATCAGGGAGGGTGTTCGTGAGGTGGATTATGCCATCCTTACGAAGGCTACTGTGGCGATACTCATGCGTGGTTTTGAGCTACATGCAAGTGCGCAAGTAGTGGCTGTTCACCGATCTTGGATCTTCGGGGTATCTCCGATCATATCTTTGACAAGTTGTCACGTGTTCCGCTGTCGCGTGTTCCGAGTTCCGAATGCGTCTTTTCTGCGGGGAATTTCTTGCGGCTGTTGCACGAGTGCCTCGGTGTTTGTGATGCACCCTGTGCTCACTCTCTTCCGTGGGTTGTGTCTACAAGGACAACCAATAAAACGTCTTATCCATCTCTTCACGTTTGTCAACCGGGTCAGCCGTGCTCATCCAGTAGCACTAGTCTTGGGGCCAACAAACACTCTAGAGTTTGTGGCGTTAACGCCATAGTCTAGTGCGGGAGACACACAACATGTCTGCGAAAGACTCTGGGAAATCTGGCGGGAGCGAGGCCGGCCCGACTCATGAGGAGCTTAGGACGGCCGTCGACGACGCCGTGGGCGACGCCAGCACCAGACTGGAGAAGATGGTGACGGAGAAAATGGCAGGCATCATGGACACCTTGTCCCGGTTAGTGCCCGGGGCACCGCCCGCCGGAAGTGCGACCGCAGCGGGCGGCGGGGGGGGGTCACTGGGGAGGATGCACGCCTTCCCTGGCGCGGGTCAGTTGGACCACGCGCCGAATACCGGACGAGGGCTCGAGGGAGCGAGAGGGCTGCGAGGCCCGGAACCACGAGAGGCTACACCATACAGTGCTACCTCGCGAGAAGGAGTCAGCAGCGAGGAGCAAGGTTCACGGTATGCTTTTAGCTCGCATGCCCGGATACCACGCCTTAAAACAGTTGGGCGTCATCGGAGATGAAAAGAACCGGCTGATGTTTTCATTACGCAGGTGCAGACTTGTGAATGGGTCGTGCCTTGAGTGACAGCAGAGACATCGTGGTCCTAGGCATAGACGATGATGGCATGGTAGGGCAGGGGGTGGAAGTAGGGGAGATGGCCACATACATACCGGGATCTGTGGGGGATGCTGACCCGAGTGACCTTCAACAACTCCACAAAAATGCTCGTATTTGCACGGTTCCCCGATGCGCTTTCCCCGAAATCTGATATTCAAAAGCAGCTGCTCGCCCAGAAAACACTCGATGAAGAAGAGATTATGAGAGTGCTTCGCTCACGGGCTGGGCAACTGCAAGCGAAGGAAAAGAAGGAGAAGAGAGATCGGCGAGCGAATCATCATGCGTTCGTAGCAGTAGAGTGGAACGGGAGAGGGAAGAGACGGTCGAAACAAACCAGAGGGGACGAAGAGGCGTACCTGGTCAACGATAAGAAGTCAGTCAGGTGCTATACATTTACGATGGGGACCACTTTGCAAGTGCATGCCCAGAGAAGCTTTGCCAGAGGTGCGGGAAAAAGGGGCACAACGCAAAGAACTGCCCATCGAAATCTACGGACGAGACTGCAGTCACCGCAGTCGAGTTGGACGTAGCATAAGAAGCACTCTGATGATATCTCGATCTGTTTTTCCCCGTGGTGCCTCAACGTCCCTCCCCTTGCGTGCGTTGCTTGCGAATCGGCTTGTCGGCATTTTCCTTTGCGACTGCTGAAATTACAATCATGTGGAATTTTTTCTGGTGTTATTTTTCCGCCGCTCGCTCGTTGTTTTTTTTTTCTCTTGTGTGTTTGATCGGGATACGAACGCAGTCCACGAAACCCGATGTTGCCTGTCCGATATACCATGCGCATCTCAGTAACTAACCGCGTAGGTTGAGCCATGATGAGGCTCATTGCACGACGAAATACTGAGGATGGTGTGGCATTCCGTTGTTGTCTCATTTTGAGGACTGATGGTCCGCGGGGCACCGCGGTCCACGCCAATTTGGTTGATGATGTTTGGAATTATTTCCCGGTCGCTTGTTTCACCGGGTTATTTGCCTGAATATCAGGGAGGGCTGACGTATGACCCTCGTTCCGTGATAGATGGCGACCAGCGTCTCTCATATTTTCACAGATAGGTCTCGACAAGTCGATTGAGGCGCTGTTTTGTTGTAGACGCTGCTTTGATCTTCCTCTGATGTGTAGGCTGAGAGGGGGCACCCTCCCATAACATGTGGTTGATGGCCCTTCTATATGATATTTCATCGATGTACAGACCGAGGGGGGCAATTCTCACTGTCATATGATCGACAATGGTGATCGGGGTAGTAGACGCGCCCCGTTGCTAACAGCAGCTGGATACAGTATGGGATCCTGTTGCTGGGAGGGGGTTACTTGTGGAGGAGTAGCAAAAAATGTCTTGGTCCAGTGTCTCTCGAAGCGGCGGACCGCTTGTGGTTGAGATACTGCTTGATCTTCCAATTGGTTGATCGCCTTCTTTAACATGCCATAGAGCGATGTAGCGTTAGGTTTTACGTTTTTCCGCTGCGATTTGGCGTTGGTGCTTGTGGCTTTGGGCGCGCCGCGGTGCTGACAGCAGCTTGATACAGTAGGGATCCTGTTGCTGGGAGGGGACTTCTTGAAAAGGGGTAGTACAAATGTCTGACAGTTGTAGACGCGTGGGTTTGCAACGTTGTGACTGCTGTGTTGATTGTGTTGACAGTTCAATCAGCAGGATGAACCGTGGGGGCGGAGGATTTTGATCCGGTGGCTGGGTTTCCCTTCGTTTGCTTTATTTTGTTTACTTTTGGAGTTTCCTTTGAGTACCCTGAACGCTTTGGTTTTGAGAGCATTCGTTATGATGCACAGAATCAGGGAGGGTGTTCGTGAGGTGGATTATGCCATCCTTACGAAGGCTACTGTGGCGATACTCATGCGTGGTTTTGAGCTACATGCAAGTGCGCAAGTAGTGGCTGTTCACCGATCTTGGATCTTCGGGGTATCTCCGATCATATCTTTTGACAAGTTGTCACGTGTTCCGCTGTCGCGTGTTCCGAGTTCCGAATGCGTCTTTTCTGCGGGGAATTTCTTGCGGCTGTTGCACGAGTGCCTCGGTGTTTGTGATGCACCCTGTGCTCACTCTCTTCCGTGGGTTGTGTCTACAAGGACAACCAATAAAACGTCTTAACCATCTCTTCACGTTTGTCAACCGGGTCAGCCGTGCTCATCCAGTAGCACTAGTCTCGGGGCCAACAAACAGAAATAACTCTCGAGGGTGCGAATTAATTGCACGACGAGTACCGCTTAGAGTTGCTCAAGCTCATGCCCAGCACATCATGTGGATGACGTGCGCTCAAGCTTCTTTCACACCACTCCTTGCCTGTGGAGACTACCACACGCTCCATTTCCGATTACTACCTGCTGCATGCTGCGGGCCGCGGGCGCGCGTGGAATGTTCCGCAGAACGCTAGACTAATATTGATGAAGAGGAACGTGGGGTCGGGGTGCACAGCACAGCATAGACTCAGAGAGAGAGGAGGAGGAGGAGAGAGCTGGGCCGCATCTGAATCTGTTAACCAAGAAATTTCGTCCGTTTTGAATAACCAGCTGCGCGCCGTGGCTCGCGCGCCTGGCGGGGCCGCGATCGTGGCGCAGTGAGCGCAAGGCGGAAGGCGCAACCGGCTGCTACAGCACACACAAGGTCAAATCCGTTTTGGGAGAGTGCTGCTGTGGTGCTGTGTGGTGTGTCTTAGAACAACCTCTTGGCTACGATTCCAGTTAGAGGGAATCCGAGGAACAAAAGGTGCTGCGCGCCGCGTCTCGCGCACAGCGCGGTCGTGGTCATGGCGTGGTGAGAGCCTACGGAGGCGGTGGCGAAACCGCTGCGGTTTGCACAATAAGAGCTCAAACATCGTTTTTTTAGGGGGGTGCTGCTGTGAGAGGAGGTCTGTTTCAGAACCTCTCAGCTGCCAATCTAGCGCTCTTCTTTCGCGCGGAGGGAGACCGAGGCAAGCAAGGTGCTGCGCGACGTGTTTCGCGCCCAGAGCGGCCGCGGTCGTGGCGCATGAGTGTATATATTGGTTGTGAGTGTCAGGAGAGAGCAGGCGTGGCTTCCCGACAAGTTCTGGCGTGTTTTTATCCCGTGCCAAGTCACATAGACTACACGTACATTTTTTTTTTTTTCCCATTGGACACTGTCGTCTGCCCCTCTGGCCCCTATCCTCCACTTCTACCAGCTAGACGACCCAACCGGGGTCACATAGGAGGGGGGGGTTGGACCCCCTCCTGCGGTTCCTGCCTGAGATATTTTTATCGCGAGAAGGGTATGGCAATCCCTTCGCTCGCGACTTAAGAAGTTTTCCAAAGACTGGTCTTAAGTCCAGTACGAAACTTCCATCGCAAATCAACCGTCCGCAGCGGTCGCTTGTTTACAATGTTTGTCTCTGAGATTGTAGCCCTTGTGATACACAACAGACTATGCAGCGGTCTGGGATTTTCGAAACAATCCTTCTATCATCGGGATCGGTGAGCGACAATCAGGGTTTTTGATGCTGCTGTGCGGTCCGATTTTGAAACGCTTAGCACCTAGGAACGGTGAATCAGCGCCTATCTTTGTAATTGTGGGGCCGCGAACTTCAGCTCAGCTCTTCCCTCACATGTCCCACTCGTCGCCATTCTATAGTCGATTTGTATTCCCGGGATCTAAACAGCCATGAGCAACGGTGCTTTCACAATTATAAGCGTTTCAATATCGGACCGCACAGCAGCAGTTCAAAAATCCCAGGGTACACCTCGGTACGGGTTTTTTAGGCCGATGCAGGCGGGGCGGTATTTCAATGTAGCGGCACTCACTTCGGCGGGTCCCCGTACTTCGCGTTCCCGCGGCGTACCGCGTTTGGCGGCTCCCGGTATTGCCAAATATGGCGGTATTTTTCAGGCGGTACTGGAGTATGGTGGTAACGCTTTCGGTGGTTCCCGGTACTGCCGAAGTGGTAAGGAGGTAGACCACTCACTCAGCCACCCGGTAGAAGGTTTAGACTAACCATTTACCCGGTTGAGACAGGACCATATAACAGACAGGACCTTATAGCACTCTAAGTTGGTATTTTCCTGGCAGTACGGAATAGTTATAAGGTTCTGTCTCAGCCAGGTAAATGGTTCACCTTTTACCGGGTGGCTGAGTGGTCTACCTCCTTAACAGGTACCACCAAAAGGTGGCGTTTCTTTCTGGCCGAAGGCCGTAGCGAAATATAGCGGTATCGCCTTCGGCGGTCGCGGGAAGAGACCAAAATATCAAAATATGGCGATGCTAATGTTCCAGAGAAAAAGCTAGCCTACCATGTCCAAAGGCTAATACACTCTCACCTGCATATATCACTAGGTAGTCTCCGTTACGAGTTCGATTGTAGACACATGCCAAGCGTTCCATCATCAATACAAGCGAGCAAACAGCGGTACAACTCCAATTAATTATGCGTGCATTCCAACTGCTTCGATACTCCATCACCCGGTCAGGCACGCACGCAGGCGTGGTCATGACTCACAGTAAGTTGTGATATCAGGTCGATAGCGCTCAGGTCGGGTTCGTTCGCAAATTTTTCGTGCTCAGTTTCCGACATCCAAGTCACTGACGACGGCAAGCGGCAAGCAAGGTAGTAGCTGCAAGTCGTCATTCGGAAGAGGAACCGTTTCATCATGGCGCGGGGAATGGCATCCAATGGAAATTCTTCCGTTGATTTCCACCTATAACCCGAGAGACGGTTACATCCACCGAAATGTGGCGGTACTTACTGCCACCGGGGCTGCTCACCACGGAGGGGAAACCCCCCCGGGGAATTTTCCCCGAGGTACGCAGACTACATACTCTATATAGGAGGTTTACCGTGAAAAACAACAAGTCCTTCTTGTTGTTCACCGATCTCGATGATAGAAGGGTTGTTTGGAAAATCGCAGACCGTTAGTCTGTCGTGTATCACAAGGGCTAAAGTCTCAGAGACTAACCTTGTATACAAGCGACCGCTGCGGGCCGTTAATTTGCGATGGTAGTTTCGTTCAGGAGTTGGACTTTTGGAAAACTGAGATAGGTGTGCAGGCTTTCCACAGCTGTTTCCAGGATTTTTGAACAGGAGGTGCGACCCCCCTGCACCCACAAGTAAATGTTGTGCTCAAGTTCTTAGATGTTGAGCATTTTTAGTCTCGATTGCCAAGTTTGTTCGTAGTGCGGGTGCGTTCTGTAGCCGTTCTATCGGGGGAAAGTTGATACTAGATTGTCGAGAGTGCCATCCTTTGAAGACGACAACAACAAGCTGCCGTTGACCGCCACTAGACTAGACTACATAAATATCTCAATCAAGAAGCAAACCTTTTCCTAGACAGAGCACCCTCTCGAGTGTGCGACTTGTATGACGAGCACCGTGTTGTGGATATCGTCTGAAATATCCTTGACAAGTGGGAAAGGCTGTGCCTCTCGATGTTGCTCGACATGGTTGGCACCGCGAGTGGTTGTGTAGAGACATACATGCACACTTGCCGCTTAGTTTTGGGCAACACACGCAGATAGATCCATAGAGAACGCAGAAGTCCGGATGACGGCAGTTCCTAGAGATGATCAGGAAAACTAAGAGCCATGACTATCCAGAGAAGTCCATGCGAGAGATTGATGTGAGAGATTCATGTGAGAGATCCATGCGAGAGTGACAGACACGCGATCCCTCGCGCAGGGAATGCTACAGCAGTGATTCCTCCGCATACAGGTGCGTTACAAATGAAATGAAACATACGGTATCTACGATGCAATCTACGATCTACTGTACGATAGAGAGCAATGCTACTGAACATTGACAAGTGCAGAGGACGTAAGCCAATATTTCCACAACACACCGCTTAGCTAAACTTTTGCTCTAGCTAATGCCCATCACAATCACGCTTCCTTCTAAGCCTATCTATGTATGTACGTACACCACTCTTGTGTAGACTACTGCACACGCCTCTTTTTCCCTCCGATGTACTACTCCTACTTTTTTTTTTTCTCCCATCATTGGACTCGGTCGTCTGCCCCTCTGGCCCCTATCCTCCACTTCTACTAGCTAGACGACCCAACTGGGGTCACATAGGAGGGGGGGGCTGGACCCCCTCCTGCGGTTCCTGCCTGAGGTATTTTTACCGCGAGAAGGGTACATCAATCCCTTCCCTCGCGACTTATGAAGTCGATTAGTCTATGGTTTCTACTGACAACGAGCTTTGCAGCGCGTCGCTTTCGTCCTAGACCAGGATTTATTTAGTGAGATAGAAACTCACTCTGCCGGGACTCGAACCCATGACCTGGCCCTTAGCAGGCTGCGAGGGTACCCACTAGACCACCGGGGCGACCGGTGTCTACTGTACCTGCCGGGTGCTGCGGGCCGCACAGACGCGCGTGGAATGTTCCGTTCGCTATTCCGCACATTCAGCAGAACGCTATCGATGAGAATGACGAGGAACTTGGGGTCGGGGCGTACAGCACAGCGGTAGTAGAGTACACGCTCAGAGAGAGGGAGGAGGAAGAGAGAGCAGGGCCGCATCTGTATCTATTAAACAAGACATGTTGGTTCCTTTTCAATATTCAGCTGCGCACCGTGTCTCGCGCGCCTGGCGGGGCCGCGACCGTGGCGCAGTGAGCGTGAGGAGGAGGCGGCTGCACAACCGGCTGCTACAGCAGTACACGCAAGGTAAGTTGGGTAACTCCGTGTGAGGGGAGTGCTGCTGTGGTGCTGTGTGCGTTAGAACAACCTCATGGCTAGGAATCCACTGATTTCCTTTAGCGCAGAGGGAAGCCGAGGAAAAGATGCTGCGCGCCGCGTCTCGCGTCTCGCGGGGTCGCGGTCATGGCGTGGTGAGCCTGCGGAGGT